TAGGAAAAAAATCCCTGGAAACTTCTCTCTCTCATTCTCTCTATACACACACACACACACACATATGTGTGTGTGTGTGTGTGTGTGTGTGTGTGTGTGTACAGAGAGAGAGAGAAGATGTATATATATATGTGTGTGTGTATATATATATATATGGGAGAGAGAGATGTATATATATGTATGTGTGTATATATATACAGAGAGAGATGTGTATATATGTGTGTATATATATATATACACATATGTGTGTGTGTGTGTATATATATATATATACATATATTAAGGATATCTCTTTATCTTTCTCTCATATGTATATGAAGGGTATCTATCTTTCTCTGTCTCTCTCTCTCTCTCTCTTTTTATATATATATATATATATATATATACACATATACATATATTTAGGATATTTACTCCATTTATTCCTCTAGAGTTAAAGGTAAAAATTAGGAAAAAAGATTAGGAAAAAATAAATTTGATTATACCTCAAAGAGCCTATCTCAATAAAAAAAATAGTCCACATCTTTTCTTGGCCACTGCATAATATTTGTGAACACTCAATATTTGTCAAGTCAATCATCATGTATTTATTAGTACACAATGCAATATAAAATGTGCACACACTACTGGAATAACTGTTTAGGTAGAATTATGAAACAACAGCTATTCTGAACCAGATACAATTTTAGACATAATTCAGTACAGCTGCATCCTATAAGAAATGGAGACATAGCGCTGGGTGCAGTGGCTCACACCTGTAATCCCAGCACTTTGGGAGGCCGAGGCAGGCGGATCACCTGAGGTTGAGAGTTCAAGACCAGCCTGACAAACTTGGAGAAACCCATGTCTCTACTAAAAATATAAAATTAGCGGGGCGTGGTGGCAGGTGCCTGTAATCCCAGCTACTTGGAAGGCTGAGACAGGAGAATTGCTTGAACCTGGGAGGCAGAGGTTGCGGTGAGCCAAGATCACGCCACTGCACTCCAGCCTGGGTAACAACAGTAAAACTCCGTCTAAAAAAAAAAAAAAAAAAGAAACAAAAAAGGTTGGGGTCACAAAGGAGTGTTATGGTAGTAACACCCCACAGAGAGACTTAAAAAGCTATAAGGAATTAAACAAACCCTGCTTATTTTCCTTAAATTTCTGCATATTAAACTTTCTTTAAGTAATTGCATTTCATTTACATAAGATTTCAATTAATTGAAATTAAAATTAAATGTTAATAAATATTGGATTTTACATTTTACACAGGGCATTGTGAGCTTGGTAAATCATAAACTACTCTAACAGAGGTAGTTTTTATATTATTACACCTAATATTAATAACAAAATATTTTGGTGCTACAACAGTTACTAAATAATTATGATAAATGAAACACCTGAGATTGTAAATGGTCAAACAGTTAAAGACCTCATGCAATTAAAAGGACAAAAGATTGAAGATTGCTTGGAAGATTGCTTGAAGATTACTTGGAAATAAACTTCAGAGATATGTGAACATACAAATGAGTTAAGAGATAATCATAGCTAGATAATCATAGCTAAATAATCACTTACTCTAATACTGCATTTTGAATATGCTTTAAGATGCTTAGATAAGTAACCAAAGAGAAAATTCAAGATATTTGAAAACATTTTAATGTTGAAACATTTAAATATTTTTATCTACTCTGAAAATGTGCATGCTAGTCAGAAACCTCGACACCATCCCAGCTGTTACCACAAATACCCTCTCCTGTCCACCACCGAAGGAACAGGAATTACATTATTTCTTAGTTTTCTGTACTGTCATGTGAGCAACTAAGACATTTCCCCAAAATACATTCAAAGGAAAATACGTTTAATTCTAAAACTGATATTCCTGGATCGTTATGAATTATTAAAATCGCCTTTGCAAATGTTATAACTGAGGAAATATGACAGTGAAAGAGATCAGACCTAAGGGACTCCATCTTGCTTTTAATCTTTAAACTGTCCTTGTTCATTCCTGGGCCTAGGCTGAACTGACCTTGGGAAGAAATTCAATTTATGGCTGACTCTGAAAGAAAATTGATAATTGTCCTTTCCCGAAAAGACCCCTTTCTTGCCTGGGGACTAGTCTGCCGTTGAAGGACTAACAAATTAGTTACAAGATTAGAAATTATGGTTTAGGGGTCATGCAGCCTCTGGCTGCAAGAGTCTGAACCTCCCCAAATTGCTCCTGGGGACAATCTCACTATTGTAAAACCTAAGATTAGTGCTTGACATATTTTGCAGACCCTGCACTGAATGAATATTCGGACACCACCCAGACTGGTAATCTAGCTCAACCAGTTCTGTGATCCCACCCAGGAACAGAAGACAGCAAGAAAACCTCACTTCAACCCCCTATGATTCCATCTCCAACCTGACCAATCAGCACTCCCCGCTCTCAAACCCCCTACCCGCCAAATTATCTTTGAAAACTGATCTGCTAATGCTCTGGGAGACTGAGTTGAATAGTCATAAAACTCTGGTCTCTAGCATAGCTGGCTCTGTGTGAATTACTCCTTCTCCATTTCAATTCCCCTCTCTTGATAAATCGACTCTGTCTCAGCAGCAGGCAAGGTGAACCCAAAACGCAGTTACAGTTTCTTTTTCTGTTTCTCTCTCTCCCCCACCTCTTCCTCTACCGAAAAAGACTTTTTATAAGAAAATTTAAATTGTGTGAACTGACAGCTACCAGAATCCCCACAGCTGAGGGATGGGAAATTTCTGGCAGGACAGGAAATAGAGATTTTGAGAATGAAGAAAGAGGAAATGCATTTATGTTAGTATGTACGTGATTGTGTATAAATTAACTGAAGATGCAGCAAGTAAACCTGTATGGAGTTAGTTGCTATAAATTCAATGATTACTCTAACTTTTAGAAGGATCACTTAACTCTCAACTCTCGCCATGATTTGATCACTACCATGGCTCTCCGCCCCCTGCCACACCCCGCCCCACATCACAAATTAGGACAGGAGGAGTCCTTTGTCTATCAGAAAAGGAGAACAAGAAATCTCGCTACTAGTAGCACTTGTTGTCTGTACTCTCTGGGAGACATTAGTTTTTTTAGCTATTCCATATGCATAAGAAGCCCATATGTTCCGAACAAGAGCACATTGAAAACTCAAAGACGATGAAAATTTTCCACATTTCACACCCTGGTTCTAAAGATAACTTCCCTTGAGCAAGTTTATGAACTTGAAATAATCAGGATGGAGTCAGTCCAATTCTAATTAGCAACATAAACCTCTGTTAAATCTTTCTTAGTGGGTTGTTTCTTACTCTCTATATGATGTGTTTCCTAGGGGGCATTAAGGAAATATCTATAAACAATGCATTTTTTTTTATTCTAGTGGACTAAATGAATAAATAACTTATAGGCAAGTGTTCAAAATAATAGATATATTTCTAAATAAATATAATTTCTGCTTAGGACCACTTTAATCATATCAAAGCAATAAACATAAATAACTATAAGCTATGCCAATTGGTATTTTCTTTGTATATCCAATATGAATCAAGTGCATGTATCCTGGTTCCAGAATAAATGCATATCATCATGTAAGGAGGAAAAGAATTGCTTGGAAAAAGAAAACTAACAGGTAAGAGCACCAAGGAAAAATAAAGCTAGCACCATTTTCCAGTGTATAGCAAATGACCAGTTGTGAATATAATACAGATGTAAAAGATAATAGAGAAAAGAAAGAAATATCACTAGGATATTCTGAAAAGTGAAAATAAGCCATTTTCTCTCTAATATTTTTAAAACCTTTGCTCAAAATGGATGAAAACCTAAATGAGGCAACATTCTTGTCTCCACAAATATCTTACATATTTAACATTAACATCTTGATGTATACTTTATTAGCGTAAAATATTACTAAATCTGTGATATTTTGCTTACTTTGTACATATATATAGACTACTTAAAACAAGAGGCAAAAATAATTGTTATAAAGTTACTCAGCTTGAGAATTACCCTTTTGTGAATTATCCTTTATTTTTTTCTACTTGAGGTTGTCACTTTCTACAGCACTCACAACTTTGTTTTGAACATAATTACAATGAATTACCAGTAGAAAGACATTCTTCAAAAGCAATTCTTGGTTCTGGAGTTTTAAGTGTTGCTAGTTGAAATAAAATCCCCTGCTGACTTGATAATTAAAGCTAAACATTGATCTAGATCTAAGGTCTTGTATTATATGTGGCCTTATTTCTTCCTCAGTGTAATAGCAGAGCAGCTTAATTTTTGTATTCTATTGAACAGAAACATCAACTTACATAGAACATATATTATTTATGATATCTTTAATATCCAAAATGTTGAAATTTGAAAACATGCAGCCATTATTTTCTAGTCCTAGGAAATATATAAATTACAACATGATCCCAGTGGACAGGAAAATTACGAGATTTACTGAATTAATTGAGTCATTGTTGTTGTCTTTTAGTAGGTATCCATTATTATGTTTAGTAGATATCAATATTTCATTTAAAATCCATTTATTTAAAAAACTCACAAAAGTGGCTGTTGCAATTTAAAAAAATGCTAAAACATTATTCACTATCATAATTTATCTATAACATTTGAAAGCAGAAAAAACTGTTTTATATTCTATCTCAAGATACATATCACCTAATTTAAAAAGAATCTCATTAACCATGTTACATCTGTTATGTGATAATTAATGTGTGCATATGTATATACTTATGCTATTTTATGTGAAGTCATATATAATCTTACCACTTATAAGATGACCATAGTTAAGAATAATATTTTTTCAAATAGCTGAAAGTAGGATAGAGAATGTTCCCAGCACCAGGAAATGATGTGTTTGAGATGATGTATGTGCTAATTACTCTGATCTGATCACTATACATTATGTGTATTGAAACATTACCGTATACCTCAGAATATGTGCAATTATTATTTTTCAATTATTATTTGTCCAATAAATGTTTTTAATTTAAAAATAAAAAATAGGTTTTCCGGAAGTGCTGCTGATTGTCGCGGACACGATGGCTTCAAGGTTACTTCGCGGAGCTGGAGGGCTGGCCGCGCAGGCCTTGAGGGCTTGCAGTCCCAAGGGTGCAGCGCGGTGCGCTCCATGGCCTCTCAAGGTGGCGTTCCTAGTGATGACGATCAGACGACTGGGTTGGAGAGGGAGATCATGTTGGCTGCAAGAAAGGGACTGGACCCATACAATATACTGCCCCCAAAGGGAGCTTCAGGCACTAAGGAAGACCCTAATTTAGTCCCTTCTGTCACCAACAAGAGAATAGTGGGCTGTATCTGTGAAGAGGACAACAGTACCATCATCTGGTTTTGGTTGCACAAAGGCGAGGCCCAGCGATGCCCTAGCTGTGGGGCCTATTACAAGCTGGGCCCCACCAGCTGGCACACTGAGCGCCTGCACTGAGTTACTCAAAATATGATATGGATCACAAGGTCAAGAGATTGAGACCATCATGGTCAACATGGTGAAACCCCGTCTCTACTAAAAATACAAAAAGTCATCTGGG